AAAACTATGAAGCAACTGTTGGCAATAGGATTTTATGTAAACACTTTTCTGTTGAAAAATAAAAAGCAAAGTGTATTTTGTAATATTTTCATGCAATATCTTAGAAATATTAACCAATTACTTTATACAACAATCAAATACCATAGAGGTTTATGACAGCGCTTTCATGCAGGTTTGGTCATATGCAAAATACAATCAAACATATCACAAATGTCTCTCTGCAACAGATCAGTAAAGTTTTGGCTTAAAAACTGTTTTTTAAATAGTATCTGAGTATTCTGATATTTTCGTTAAACTCTCGGTGCAGTTTCCCTCAGCTAGAGAGGAAAATACAAACCCAGACATAATCAAGCAGATCTACAATTTGACCAAAACCTGACAACAGGAACTCTAATAGGTACACGATGTTATCAGTTTCCAAAGCTGATTTAATTAAAAACATTTTACCCTCAAACTAAGTCTTAAGTTTTAAAAGTTTTAAGATGTCACCTTTTTTTTTCTTTATAATAATATCTAACCCTAAATGTTTATTAGTTTTTCTTTTAAGAGCTAAATATTCTCAAACATGTTATCACAGAAGGTAGATTAATCTGCTTATGTAACACAAACAAGAGGCTGTGTTTTGCTCCAAACATAGATGTACACTTTGTTCCATTAAATAGATATTATTTCTGTTAAAGTTAAATAAGAACTGTGTGACACAGACATATTAAATACTGATTACTTCAGAATTATATCAATTACCTTTTTGTAAAACATTTTTTAGCACAAGATAATTATTTTTGAAACAAAAACTTAATGTGCAAAAGAAATATGCTGATTAGTTATGTGTATCTAAAGCAGCTTAATTAAAATATTAATTTTAAATCATTTACATAGCTGCAGGCTTTAAGGCATTAAACTAAACATTGCAACTAAAAGATTAAACATGCATCTAGAAGCAGAGATCATGATAAAAACTGTACATCCTTTAAGAATCAAAAGAGATTATCACCAAATGTTATGATTTATTTTATTATGCAATTGTTAGGTTAATTAAAATGAGGAAACTATAGATGATGTTTCTGCTTTACATTTATTTGACTTTAGATATGCAGAATATATTCATAGAAGCAAACAAACAGTTTTACTTCATTTTGTGACTGTCAGAAATAGATGCATCTAAACAGAATAAACACAAAGCGTCAGTGATAGGCTTGAAATTTTGACAATGATGGGAAAGGGAAAATTGAGGGAATATAATAAAAGTATATGTCAAGGTCACATTTTATGCCCTGCAGCCATTTTGTTTTTTCCATGGGGCCAGCAGCAAGAGCCACACATGCAGTTTGGTTCATGTGTCTACTTACTTCTCCTCTACCAACTGTTTTTGGTATTCTTCATACTCCTCGCGAGTCATCCCAGCTGCTTTTGCAGGATCTGACGGGGCGGCCTCCTCCTCTTTGTCACCGCCACCACCGAGACCTATCCCTGACAGTGGGTTCCCAATCATGCTCTTGATCAAAAAAGCCATCTTGAGTTTTTCAAGCGTTCACCCTCCAAGGACTGGGATGTTTCCTCTGACTGAAAAAGTTAAATCTTGTTGTAGCTTTCCAATCTAGAGGTAGCTCTCTAGCTAACCTCCTGCTTGTCTATAGAGTCAAGGACACACTGAAGACAAACAACACACGCTCACAAACACACATAATCTGGATTTAATCCTTTCTGCTTCACTATACTAAGAGGCAGATGGCCTGCTTTTTATCTATTTTTAAATCAAGCAGACCATCCTGGATGTTTGATAAAAAAGATTTATTTATACATTTTAAACAGTTTTTAGGCAAAACATTAACAAAAACTCATAGGCCTTAAGAGTAGATGGATCGTTACTTTCAAGCAAAGACAGAGGCTGCATTGCTCCCACCCACTGCTGCTTAATCATATTAGTGAAGTACAGAGCGGCCCGTGTGCAGCTTACACTGCCAGGATCAAGCCGAGTGGAGAGAGCAGCAGGATTATACTGTATTCTTGTTTATCTCCATGAAGCCATCCTTCATGCGGTGCCATTGTTTTAATGGGAACGTGACTGGCTGAAGGTGTGAAATGGGGAGGAGTCACCCCCTCGTCAAAGATAGGATCATATTTTACAAACACTATGGTGTTCTTTGGAACTTGATCAGTTTACTTGTTGGGTGAATCACAGGAACCTCCCCAATAGATGATGAGGGATTATAGTTTTAGAAGTTGCACAGAAGAATATTTTCTAACTGTAGAGGACAAGGTTAAAACAGTGCAACAGGGGACCAAACAAGCAAAGCCTATGAAAAAAAAAACAGTCACTCTAGATCCTGCTGATCAGCCCGAACCATGACTGCTGGTCTTGAGAAGAGCTTATCCATCCCACTTATTCTGATGTGTCAATGAGCTGTTCTACATTGAAAGTCCTTCTGCTTTACTTAAAGCCAAGTCATAGGTCTTTGCTTTGTCTGAGTCAGACCATAGTTATGTGTTGGAATAGATGTGTAACTTTTGGGAAACAATCTTCAAAGTTTTTCAAGAACTGAAATATTTCCACAGATGATTACAGGACATCCGAAGTGAGAACTAGCATTTTATCGAAACACTAAGGGCCTGATCGACCCAGATCCAAAACAGGGAGCTCTAATGCTTAAAAAAAACAAACAAGCAAAAAAGGTTCAGTTTATGAAAAAAATAAAGCTTGGTTACCTAGAAGTTTAATTAGTAATAAAAATAAAAATAAAAAAACATCAGGAGACAAACTTCTTTTTTATCTCAACCATAAATCCTAATGCATAATTCAAAATCAAGATGGATCCATAATGGTGCTGCAGACTGGGGATTTATTTTTTTTAGTACCAGAAATGTTAACAGTGGCCATAAGATAGCCACAGAGAAAAGCTTTTAATTTCAGAATATTAAAACTCTTTTTCCACTTAGGTAAAGACAAAGAAATTTCCTCTCATCTGTGGAAAAGGAGCACCTTCGTATTCATATATACAGTTACAAAACTCACTTATCAAAACAAAGACTTGCAAGTTACTTTACACTAATGAATGTGATTAAAAGTAAGAAAGGACAAGTGTGGATGAATCCAACCCTGCTTGACAGCACAACAGAAAAGCTACTTTAGAAAAAACGATTGAGATTGAAGGCAGTAAGAATCCACCCAGACGCTGGAGATATGAAATTGCCTCCATTTGTAACCGACTCCATGTCAGCTCCTAGTTCACCCAGCAACTTGAAAGAAGCATTGCTTGATGGACAGGAGAAGAAAATAATCAAATATGGGCACGGCATTCTAAGAGAAGACACATGTTTGGAACTACCTTTACTTTTTTATCAGTCAGTGGTTTTAAATATTGGCCTATGAAAAAAAAAAAAATTCTCAAAACCGGGAAATAAGAAAACAGAATCACTGAGAAAACACATTGGTTTCTAATCGGTGTGGCACATATTGAACAGATAAAGCACCGGTTTCACCATTTATTTCTGTGAAACAGCTGCAAATAAGTATTTGCACACCTGGTAAAATCAATGTTAATATTTAGTACAGTAGCCTTTGCAATTACAGAGGTCAAACCTTCCCTGCAGTTTTTCACCAGGTTTGCACACACTGCAGGAGGGATTTTGGCCCACTCCTCCACAGAGATCTTCTCTAGATCAGTCAGGTTTCTGGGCTGTCGCTGAGAAACACAGAGTCTGAGCTCCCTCTAAAGATTGTCTGTTGGGTTTAGGTCTGGAGACTGCCTAGGCTATGCCAGAACCTAGATATGCTTCTTCCAGAGCCCCTCCTTGGTTATCCTGGCTGTTGGCTTGGGGCCTTCACGAGCATGCTTAAGCTTAACTTTTCGTGCGATGCAGGATTTCAAACCACGTTGTCTTAGTGTATTACCAATAGTAACCTTGGAAACGGTGGTCCCAGCTCTTTTCAGGTCATTGACCAGCTCCTCCCGTGTGGCTCAGGGCTGATTTCTCACCTTTCTTAGGATCACTGAGACCCCACCAGGTGAGATCTTGCATGGAGCCCTAGTCGGAGGGAGATTGACAGTCATGTTTAGCTTCCTCCATTTTCTAACAATTGCTCCAACTGTGGACCTTTTTTCACAAAGCTGCTTGGGTATTTCCCAGTAGCCTTTTCCAGCCTTGTTGAGGTGTAAAATTTTGTCTCCAGTGTTTTTGGACACCTTTAGGTAACATTGCGCCTAGCTTGGAGAGCCTATTCAATGCATGCTCTCAGAGCTCTTTTTTGAAGTTTTGCACATCCATTAAAACCTTTTCTTTTAGTTTGCCAATAAAAATAAAAACTTTGGCTTTAGTGCAGAAACAGGTGTTCAGTAGTGACATCTATTGATGTTACACAGTAATTACACAAACCTAGCAACTCACCATGCAGCCAAAACATGATGGGGACAAAGGAATACTTTCTTACATAAATTATTTGAGGGTTGTCCATAAACCAGTCTTGTTTTGGTAGCAAAAAACAAAAAATTAAAAAATATATATATATATATATATAAAATCTATTTACTTTTTACACTTAACTTTCAAACAATTAAAAAACTCCTTTTTCAAAACAACAGAAAAAAATAAAATAAAATCATTTGGGTGGGTGGGGCAGCCCCCTCCAAATGTAAAGTACCCTTTAAATTAGGATTTAATAGATATAAAGCATACTGATATATTAAGCATAATTTTGATTTCCGACAGAATATTGAACAATCTTAGTAACATTAAACATCTGCATACTTAATATTTTTAAATAATAATTTTTTTGTTTGGCAACACGAATAATGGCCCTGCTATAAAAACAATGCATTCTAAGCTAGTTTAACTCTGAGGTGACGACCTGCTGATATAAGAGACAGATCTATGCAATTTCAGGTAAAACAATTGTAGGGAGACTATAGCACTCAATCTAGATCCATGAGTTAGGACATCCTAAAAAGATGCCCACCCTAATTGTCTTTCATAAAATAAGACAATAAAGGAGAGACACAGTGATTGGTGTTAACTGTTTATGTAAAGTGTTCAGGCAGATGACATCAGATTCTGGAAGTTAAATTATTTTAACTCGACCAGAGGAGAAAAACCGAATCGGATCATGTATGGGTCACTGAGTCTGTAGCATTTTATAAGAAAATAAACACATTGTACATTTTTCAACAGGGGTTTTCTCTTCCCTTGTTTTACCGTTGGTTTGGTTTTATGGAACCGTCCAAGGCAGATCTCACATTTGAGAAAACAAAATTCAAGAGTCTGACTGAACAGAAATACTGTAAGGAACATGGCACAACATGCTGGAAAGTCTCACCGCCTTTCACACATAATTGTCTGACCAAATTAAACATTTTCTAACAATTATAAAAAAAAAGCCTATTTCCACAAAAGCATTTTTTCCAGGTACAATAATTTACAATCTGAAAATGATTGAACAAAAAACAAAACAGACATTCCCTCATGCACACGGTTGTTCTATAAAGCAACGTCATCAAAAGAACTTCTTAGCTGCTGCTTCCTGTTGACTTCTGTAATGAGAACAGAAACAAACTGTTTTTTTAAGTCACAGGGAGGTGTTAAAGAAATCAATACTAGAGTTACTTACTTGTACATGATGTAGCAGAAGAATAAGACCGTCTGGATGACAACAAATATTGCAAAATGAACAGTCGATAAGCAGGAAGGCATGGGCGGCATCTCAGGGCATTTTACAACCTTATCAGCTGGATTCTGCACAGAAAACAATAAAGATGCTTTTATTATTGGATGATTGGTGGAAATTTATTTTAGTCTTTAATTCAGAGCAATAGTATTAAGATTTTATAATCTACCAACATTGGGATGCTTTTAAAAGTACCTGAACGTTCCGTTGCACCAAGTGCTCCACGTCCCTCTTCACCGTGTGAAGATTCTCCTTAATGTCGTTGAAGTGCTGAATGGTTTCATACGCCCCCGCGCCGCCTGCATTACCCTGGTGCTGGACTGAGCTGATCTGCTTCAGAGACTCATGGAACGAGGTTCTGCAGACAAAAAAGTCAAGTACTTCTTATAAAGACGCCAAACTTTTAGGTTAAACCATCTAAAGCCTCCCGAAGGACTGAGAAAGGCCAAGCCATGTTTGGGAACTTAGTGAACCCTAAATATGCTGTGGGGTTTTGTTTAATTCCACAAAAAAAAAAGAAATGCTCCAAAATTAATCCTTTAATCCCCATTCACTCCTTCATACATATTCTCAAAGTTTAAGTAACAGAAAATTACCATCTGATAAAAGAGGTCATGATTATAAATTAATCCTTTATAAAACATGTTCTTACAACAGATTACAAGCACAGAGGGTTAAGAAACAGAGCAGAAAGTATCTGGATTATTTCAAATGTGTAAAAGGCGAGCCATGATACTGAACGTTGAGTTATAATAGAGATTTTTACACAGCAAAACTTAAAAAGAAAAAAAAAAAAGATAGACAATTCAATACATTGGTGTAAAAGTATATAGACTTACTTTATTTTCAAATTAATCTGAAATTGACTTTAGGTTAATTATTTTGAATGATAGTCTGTAATGAAAATTTTACCCAGTAATTTAGGAAGTAAACTAAATTATTTAGGAAGATTTAAAACAATTCTGGTTGAACAAACCATAGGACCTTGCTTTAAAGGGGAACAACAAAAAACTAAGATTGGATGCATATTAACAAGTGAAAAACTAAATAAAACATCCTAGGGACGCATTTCTGACCTGAATTTAAACTTTTTTGTAGTAATAACTTTAAAATTAGGTTATGATGATGATAGCGTTGTAGAAGATGCAACTTCCTGCTATTAAAAAATCCCACTAAAGAGCTAAAAATGACAAAATTCCCAAAACAGCGAGAAATACAAAAAAAATATATATACATATAGAAATATTGCACAATATTAGGAAAACATGGATAATAGCAGTAAAAGTTCAGATAGCAATATGACTAGTAGAAAGTAAACCAACAGTTAAAAAGTTTTATAATCTTTCTGCTTTAGGTTGATAGCAAACATAGATGCCACGTAAAGGGCAGTCTATTCTTCTTCTAGAAGCAATTAAAATTAAGTTTTGATTAGACTTTAGACAGATTTTATTTGTCATTTTGTTTACGCAAGTGTAAAACAAAAAGAAATATCGTTTGGAAACAGCTCACTGGACAATTTAATCTTTTAAAAGTCAGTATTAAGATTATTAATTATTATTATTATTAATATTAAGATTAAGTCAATATTATATAACAAATATTAGTTTAATATGGTAAAGAAAAGAAAAAACAAAAAAAGTTTGGTTAACAGGGGAAATGTAGCTTAGATTTATTGTTTTCTGTAAGCAGTATATTAAAAATATAAGTCTTCAACATTTATTACTGGAACAAACAAATCTGACTTTGTCACCTTCCTAGGTATTTTGTAGAGCAAGCTACATTAGTTACATTATTTTTATCTAAAACTTTTGTGGTACACCATCTTTACTGGGCTATAAAATAATCCCTAAAAATAATTTTCTTACCCCCCATAAAGGACATAAAACAACAATAATTATAAATGCCTTCTGCCATAATTCCTCACTGATTGAAAGAGAGGTTGTAAATCTGCACTTTCACATTCAATTTCCGCTGTATATCAAGTTTAAATAGAGTACAGCATTCTTAGAGAAAAATCTAAGCCTGGATCACATTTCGGGGCAAATTGTCATTTCTTAAACTTTATTACTAACATGGAGAAAGCAATAAGTTTCCCTTATCATCTTAAAACACGTCTAAGGCGATTATGAAGGGAAAAGTGCGCTTACAAATCAACTGTATTTCCAGTGGCGCAAGTAAGAAGGCCCTGGGGGAGGATTGCTACAACAAAATCAATTTGAGGGGAAACCATGTTTCGCTTGTGTATGACAGATGTATTTAAAGACCACTAATCTGATAAGGACAAAAACGGTGCTAAGATGTGGCCTTTTCTTGCTGAGCCACATGGCCAAGGTCTGAGACAGGGATGACATATAAACAAAATCTAATTTGTGTCACCATTGATGGGGAAAAAAAAACACTTAAGAAAGTGAGCATTTTTTAAACCCTCGATATAATCTTCATCTCCGGCGACTGACCCATTTATGAGCAGAAAGCCTTCTTTGTATGTTTAGAGATGAAGCCTGATCATAAACTGTGTTTAAATGACAGAGTAGGATCAAGGGAGTTCTTAATCTACAAAGTCATACAGATCAGTCACTCATATTAGCACATTAGAGGGGGGCAACAACAGCCTTTTGCCAGCGTCTGAACCCATTTACTGTCAATACTAGAGAATCCTAATACCTACTCTCCGCTTAGGTTAAAATGGAAGCATCGAAGACATTTTATTTTTGAGGTCTTGTCTATTCATATTTTAACAATTTTAATGCATAGTTAAATAGGAGTCAATATGTGTCTAAGCCATGCATCTACAGTTTAAGAAAGGGATTCATGAAAGCTGAAAATCTTTGGTATCCTGTAAGATAAAAGTCATATAACCAGTCTGGTTCTTCTATAGTTCATTGGAGAAAGAACATTTTCTATATAAAAATAATTTGCTGTTCAAAACTATGCTAATTTTAATATTATTATAAAATATAAAATAATGAATTCACCCGATTAACAGGTCTCTATAAATGCTATTGTTATAGCTTCAATGTTACACTAAAATATTTCATTTGATGAAGTTGAACTTAAAATACATTTTAAAAGGTATTTACTGTAGTAACAAAAAACTAAAGACAAAGAAAATATATTAACTCTCTGATCTTCTAAATGGAAATTTTAAGAAACATACGAAAGGGATTTTTAATTTCTCTTTGTTAAGAAATTTTAAAAATAACAGCAACAAATGTAACTGTTTTTGTTTTCCATACATATACTTATTAATAGTAAATAAATTCAGGGAGAAAAAAAAACACACCAAGAAAAATAATAAAAGATGACTGAACATCAGGCAATGAAAAGAAGTAACAGAATTTATTGCCAAAATATTTTAAATTATGCATTTTTACTTTACAGAAATGACAAAATTTCTAAATGAAATGAACCGGGACTCAGTCAGGTTAAATGGCTCAGCTATTACAGCTGTAGGCCGATACTTTCAGGGAACATAACCCGACACCATCAAAGCAACTTATTTTCTAATAATCTGTTCCGATGAGAAAAACCAGTGCACTGATCTAAAACAGGGATTGAGAAGGTATATGTAGTTTGATATATTTTTTTAATCTGCTTCATGACCACTGCAACAAAATCCCAACATTAACAGTGGCTCTTGACAGCTTAAATGACTTTGTGTGCATTCAATCAGTTTTACTTACTGTGAGTACCAAAATCATCCCATCTTTTAGAGATTTGGCTGTGATGAGCAGAGTGATAACACCCCTTAAGCTGTATTATACCTAAGGATCAAATTCTGAATAGTTTCTTTTTTCCAAGTCGAAAACATTTCAAGGTTAAATAATAACAAAACTAAGGAGATTATGACTACATATCACTTTATCCATCGTGCAGTAATTACAGTTAGTCACAACAACATGGACGCCTCTTTGTGAGATGCAGTTCTCATAGAAAATTATTTAAAAGTTTGTCTGCATAATAAATATTCCTCAACCACAAAGATGTGGTTGGTTCTGTGACTCAATAAAAACATTTTATTGTTCTTTATATCCAACCATTTGGTGATAAATCTGAGCAAATTAATAAATAAGGACAAAATAATAGCAGGGGGAGTTCCTCAAGGCTCCCCACTGAGCTCTATTTAATTCAAAATGATACCCCAAACTCAGATTTTGATTCTACAACCTCTATTACAAAATTATGACATAAAACATTTGATGACATTTTCTGTCACCACCTGACCGTAGTCCACTAAAGGCACAGAGACAGAAAAAATATTCATGACTTAATAGGTCAGAATTCCCTCCATCTTAATGTTAAAAGTTAACTTTTGTTTCTGACAGTTCAGTACTGAACTAGATTATGTGGTTAAAAACTTGGTACCAGTATCTTTACAGCTAGAAGAGGATGGAAAAAAATAAAATCAGGCAGCTGCAGCTTATCTAAAATACTGAGTCCTTGACAACACTAGAAAACTAAATCACATTGCAGTAGCACTCAAATTAATCTCTAAACCGGCTACCCATTTGTCAAAAGGATAGAATTCAAAGTCATGTTGATTTTCTATGAGGGCCTTAATTGTCTTGAGTCGGAGCAAAGCTCAGAGATGCTGCTCAGGTATAGACCAGGTAGATTCCTCAGTCAGTCAATTTTTTTAATCTCTATTTTCAGCTAAAGTTTCCAATTATACATCTTCTCAATATTATCTACTCTCAATTTTCCTGTCTTGCCTATTAATATTTAGAAATTACATTAAACCATTTCTTCATGAATGCTCTAAACAACTCCACTAAAGTTCTGACTTGCAAAAAAAACTACAGCTACTCCTGCCGACACGGATACACTGTTCAATGTGGAATTCTATAAATATATCACGCTTAAAATTATCTCACCCTATAATGATTATGCATGCATGCATAAAGAATAGGGATGGGGATCGTTAATATTTATTGATATTGATACCTTTATCGATACTCCTTATCGATCCGAGTCTTTATCGATACCACTATCGATACTTTCTGTTATTTGGTGGAAAGACGATGCAACAAATTTTTTTGACAGACAGAAAGGAAGTGGGGAAAAAAAAATTATTTGAAGAAATGTCCTATATTTTGAAGAAATGTCTTCTTTTGGTTTAAAAAAATATATACATTTTCACAATTGTTGTTTAATGTATTGTCTACTGTCACTTTTCATCATGTTTTAGTGATTAAGAAAATATTTAGCAAATAAATAATTGTATTTTAAATTAAATGTAATTTTTAATAAATGTTGGCATCAGTAGTTTAATTATATATTCTAAAATAATTAGAGCAATATACAACTGTATTACTCATGTTTCTCGCCAAAAACTCAATTTCCCTTTTCTTTACATTACACTAGAACGCATCATGATAACCTAATTGTCGTTTTACTGAGCCAATCTGAACACATCATCACGCAGCACGTCTGAAACTTTATTTATTTTTCAAGCTAACTAGCTTGTATGCTGCCGGTTACAACACGGATTTCACAATTACTATTTTTAACTGACCGGACAAGCTACAAAGTCTGTGTGCGCTTACCAGTGGTACTCTGAGTGGATGATGAAGACGGGCCCGACTGTGGCAGCCGCAGGAGGAGGAGGAGTCTTTTCAACCCGGAGACAGTCGAAGGTACTTTACAAGAGATGATTTTGCAACATAAGTTGCATTTCGCTTCTTCTTTATCTTTGAGCTTGGTAAAATGAAGCCGAGTCGCGAGCGAAGTTAACTGCCAGACTTCACTTGTTTTACTTTTCTGTTTGCTTACAATTTAATTCCAAAACATTGGTGGACATGCTGCAGTGATTGGATTGATTAGATTTAAATGCTGTGACGCGACTTGAGGGGGACACAATTATGTTACAGGACCTCCGGGAGAAAAAAAACAAAAACGACCAGACTCGATAGTGGTATCGATAAGCCCAAACGTTATTGATTTTCAGGTTTTGAAAAAAGTGGAACCGGGTCCTTGATAGAACCGGATTTCGATCCCCATCCCTAATAAAGAATGACTAAAATAATAAAAGTGGGAAAATTAAACTACTGTGATCCGGAAGTCTGGTACGCTTAGTTTGGTCGGTCTGATTTTGCCCCAATTTCGTCCAACAATAGACGTCGAAAAGACGTTGCAAAGCCAGTTTTCAACATCTTTTCACCGATCTTAAAATTGCGGTTTTTCACCTTTCACTTTTCAACCAAACGTAGACGTTGTTTGGATCATGTTGAAATCATGTCTTTTCAACCAAACTTTGCTCCATGGGTACAGTTTTCTAACAATACTGCCACCTGTGACCAAAACACAGAACTGCAGCCACTCATTCTCGTAGCTCGCACCTATTTTTACTTTTATCGTCTTACATAGAGTTACCATTGGTGTCTGAGTTGAACTGGATAACGGTTGCTTCTTAATATCCACAAAATCAATCTTGAATATAGCGCTTCAACTGTTTATAAATTAGGACCCATTTAACATGGACATACTGCAAAACACTGGAGGAACTTCTGACCTAAAGTAAATTCAGGAAAATAGGCTACAGTCTTATTAATACATCAGTGCTGAACTACTGAGGTGTCCGTCTGTTTTAGTTATAAACGGTCAAATAAAAATGCTTTTTTAAAGATATTTATCAGGAAAAACTAACATCATGTCTCTTTAAGGAGGTTTATTAAGAAGCATTGCAATAGAATAATAAAAAAAAAAAAATATTAGCATGTTAATGCAGGGAACACTACCTAACCTAATTTGGTCAGACACACATCTTGTTGGTTCTAACGACAAGTGCCATTATACGTGGACTACTAGCCCGCTCACTATATAAAATATACATGGAGCTTAAGGGAAAAGTCTGGTCAGCGAGGAATGATCAATGGAGCATTACTTATACCTAAAATCACTTATCAATTATTGAACAGTATGGAATAATTTCATATTTAAAGTATTTTGAGAAGTTTGAATTCTGAATATGACCAGATCTTTCCTTTAATTTAATCTGTCAACATTATAAAATGCAAATCGTTCCCCCCACACACATACATCTGCATTGAAGTAACGTCACTTGTTTGTAGCATGCCTGCTGTTTGTGTCAGAAAGGTACAAAAAAGAAATAAGCTTAACTGGAAGACAGTGTGATGTTTATCCTAAATCTGCGAGTAGCAGGCATGTGCACAGAGAAAAGCAGTTTCATTAGGAGCAAAGCTTTCTGAGAAGGAAGCATTACAGCAGCTGGATTATCAGGCCGGCCAGCACCTGAGATTTTACAACCATCCTGAGATTAAATATGATTTAGGAGATTTGTCCAGCAGGATTTTCAATGTTTTTCTCTGGTATCATGGGTATTTCTTTATGTTTGTTGCAAAAACAACTAGTTTTTAAGAAAACATCATGCAGTTCTGGTACTCACTTCAGTTCATTGAGGTTTCTAAGAAGCTCCTGCTGCGTAGATATGACTGAAGTCAGCTGCTGACTCGCAGAATCGGGCTGAGAGGGAAACACAGATTATTTTCCTGACGCAATAATAACCCTAGGTTGATGTTTAACAAAACAAACAATCTTTATAGTGTTTACCTTCTTCTTCTACCCTGGCATATTAAGCTTTTAAAATTATTTTCATACAGCAAAGTAGTGTGATTCTGACAGAAAATAAGTGTTTAAAAGCTATAAATCCCTTTTCTGTTTTTATTAATGTATAAAGAAAAATGACAGGTTAAAAATTATTGACAACCTTCTGATTAATATGAGGAACAATCTTTAAGGCCATTACAGGCAATCAAACCCTTTTTAAATCAGCTATCTGCATCTTTCCACTGATATTTAATAATAATAATAATAATGAATTTTATTTATCATGCACTTTACATTTGATTTCAAATCTCAAAGTGCTACAAAACAAGTTTAAAAGACCATAACATTAAAAACAGAGTAAAAAGACAGTCATTAAAATCAATACATTAAAAGGCATACGTAGCCTATTAAAAAAAATCTAAAATCAACAATTGTAGGAATTTCTAAAAAGGAAAGTTTTTAGTCCTTTCTTAAAACAATCCACCGTCTGTGGGGCCCTAAGGTGGTCTGGGAGGGCATTCCACAGACGGGGAGCTGCAGCTTCGAAGGCCCTGTCGCCCATTGTTTTTAGCCGTGTCCTGGGTGGGGCCAGACGGTGCTGTTGGCCTGACCGGGTCCGGGAAGAGGTGTGTGGTGTGAGCAGTTCAGTGAGATACATGGGGGCCGCACCGTGCACACAGTGATGGGTGTGCAGAAGAATCTTGTACTCTAATTTAATTTAATTTAATGATTTTATTATAAGGTCCAAATCATGAAGGTTGAAAGTCCTAGTCTCTATCAGATCCAAGTCAGCGGTCAAGGCACTCCAAAATATTAATATACCTCTTATTAAATCAAAATCATTTTAAACCTAGATCTGTCAGAATCACTCGGTAGGAACACAGTAGCAGTTTGTGTTAGCTTAATTTCTTCACAAATAACGTCATATAATAAGTCAAGCATATAAGTAATAATGTGGAAAACCTCTCCAGATAAGTTAATGTCAGTTTGGTTTGCATTTTATGCAATTATAGATCCTTTGTGCTTCTTTGCTTACCAGTCCTGATCCGGTACTTGTCCCCTTTTTGGAAATCTCCTCTGTAACAACTGAAAGGTAGCGTCGCTGCTCATCCAGAATCATAGCCAGCTGTCGGTTTATCTGCTTGATTTCCAGATGGATCCGGTTCTGGCCCTCAAACACCTGGCGGATCTCGCGGTCATTCACGCTTTCATAAAAATCGTCAACTGAAATGCCAAACAAACAATTAAACACAACAACGTTTTGTAAAAGGATTTAGGACTCAATGTTCCAATCTTTGTATTTATATCAATATATTTGATATTTAAGATAATAAACAGTATAAAAGCTACCTGGTTCTCCTTGGACATTAGGGTGCTCCTTTTGAAACTCCTCTTTCTTTTTATCGAGCTCTTGCTGGAAATTCTGAAATTCCTCCTGGTATTTGTCTTTTTCTTCTTTGGGGATCTCAGAATCAACCGAGGGCTTCAATGAATACAAAAAAAACAACAAAAAACAGTGAAGGTGACTGAGCTGTACATCAATAATGGTGCAAATGACAACTGAGGACCAATAAAAAAGTAGGATTACCGGTTCTTGGCCTGGCTCTGTGAGTCTGAACAACAAGAACGACAAAACATCATGGTCATCTGATGGAGCAAGAAAAATTTATTAATTAAAAATACCCAAGAATATATTTAATGGGAACAGTCAAGGTAGATACAGACAGAATAGAAAAGTATTTTGCAAGGTTTGTTGAAAAGGTTATTGAACATCTTGGTCACCATCATGCCATTCTTTAAAATTTTATTAGAATAAAAATCAATGAAAGAAAAAAACAATAAATCCATAATATTTTTGAGCATTTTAGAAGAAAAAATATCAAAATATAACTGAAATTTGGGGGATTTTTTATTTTTTTTCCCCCTACAGAACCATCTGGTAATTTAAGTGATTGCACATTTTTACTTCTTAAACTTAAAAAGGCAGCAAAAAGCAAGAAGACAGACAACTGAAAGGTGAGGAGGGAGTATGATGTCGCTGCTGTTGTCCTATTGCTCTGAAGTAGAGAGCATCAAGTTGTATGAGAGTAACACAGTAGTGGATTAAAAAAATCTCTGCACCATTTGATTTCATCTCTAAAAAACAACAGAAGTCGGACGTTACTCAGTCATAACTTTATTGCAACAGCTTGCAGAGATAGAAACTATCTAAACCGCTTATACCTAAGTTGTGATAATTGATCAGCAAACATGGAGTCTTTAGATCCAAGACAGGCATTTGACTAAACATGGACTATAAAATGATGAGGCGTCTTTATGCTGTAGTGTTTAAATAGATAAGAATTGGTCAGAAATGGACACAAAACAAACAGATTGGTTGCTGATGCTATTTTTTCCTAGAGCCAATCTGGCAGTAAAATTAGAGTGTCTTCATTTTAGTTGTGTTTTTATTCATTCTTAACTGAATAAAAGGATTCCTGATTTAACTTTTTCTTGGTAGTTTGATATAAATGACAAAAAAGCCGTTCATTCATTCATTGAGCAGTACCTGCTAAACCTCCAGTGGCAGCTGAGATGCCAAAGAAGCCTTCTGTCGGAATGATCATGTTTTCCACTTTCGTGCAGAATTCATAGTCCTCTTTGTCTGGAGTGAATCCATTGTTGATCAGAACCTAAGGAGGAATATTAAAACATGTATGAAGCGGTTTGCTTTAAAGGACCAGTGTTGCTTTGCATGTGTGATTCGGAGCTTTCTCCTACCGTCAGTGTCTTTCTGTAGTATGTTAATTTGGCTCTGATTGGATACGGTTTGTTGCGGAAATCTCTTAAACACGTTCCAAGGGCCTGCGTTGTGCCATCGCTGAACGAAAACAAAATTCAGATAAATCATTTAAAGTAATAAAAAACAAAACTAGACATTCTGTGATGACAAAAAGAAAGTCCAATACAAAGTTCACGAGATAATTGACTAACATTAATATTTTTGTAAACACTGCGGTCTCTAAGATAAACTGGAACGGCACAGAAAAAGTGATTTAAAGCTTTCACTTGCCCATGGGAGATTAGAAAAGATAGAGGATAATTTACTTTCCAAGCAAATGTAATCATATTTTCTAATCTCCTTTAAGTTGCTGGAATGGGAGTTAGTGAGGTCATCAGAGGAAAACCAGAAATGTTTACTTACTTTTGATGGTCATAAACAAGGTTGCCATTGTTCCCGACGACCAGTATGGCCGGGTTATTTTTCTGGGAGAGTGAAGCACAAAAAGAGAAAACAGGTTAATCTTTTTGTTTTCTGAGGAGCAGAAGTGGCTTTGCTTGTAGGTAATCTTATTTAAATCACAAATCCTATACCTGAAGAACAGTAATTATTTAAAATACTAAAATAAACAACTTTTTTTGAACCAGTTTGAGCTTCTCTTAAGACAAAAGCACAAATGTAAGGATTACATTTTTAACAGGATAAAGGTTTCCTTAAGCTGATGCCACCTAAAAAAACAACTCTTCCCTCAGGTTATTTGCCTGGATTGTTTAGAATTCCAATGATTTATTATTGAAAAATGAAGATGACACAAACCTTTCCATCGTTGTCAAAGGAGTCAAAGAAGATGCCAACTCCGTTCCACCTGTCAGCAGCACCGTAGACGGGGCCGTCAAGGCCTTGCTCGGTGGTGAACCACACTGCCTGTTGGAAGAAAAACATTGAAGATGTTAACATTTATTTATTTATTTATTTATTTATTTATTTAATATTGTTCAACCTGAAGAAAAACTTAAAAATACATTCTAGATATTAACAAAGAAGGATAATTGTAGATACAGATTTTTAAGAATCACCATAACAATTATAGCATTATATAATAGCAGCAAACACTTGAATCTGTTTCTGGAGCCACATGTGGCCCTCAAGGTCCTCCACATTGGCTCCTTATAACTTTGGCCAAAAATGAAACATATTTCTAAATATATAAAGCTCTTTTTTTTAAAGGCATGTTTTTGTACTAACTACTTTTCTTTTATCTGTTTTTTCCCAGGTTTCTTCTTCATTTTACAGGCACTTGAAACAAGGTAATCCAAAACAATGACATTATTGACTGCTGATAAAATTTTTCTTTGTTCTGAAACCTAAATTTAAACATACATTTGTTTTTGTTTCAGTAGATAATCCTGCTTGTTTTAAAGAATGAGGGCAAATTTGGCTGTTTTGGGAAATAAAGTTGCAGATCTATGTTTAGACTGATATGAGCTGCTTCACGTTTTCTTTAATGGTCATATTAAAAATTGAACAAAGCTTTTAGATTACCGTACATTCAACTTTATTATCATTGCACAAGGCAATTAAATGCAGTTTATGTCTAACCAGAAGTGCAAAAGCAGCAAGTGCAGGATATATAAAGCTATTACTATATAAAAAAAAACTAAAACTAAAACTTGGACAGAAGCTTTCTGATTTAAAGTGCAGTGAAAGCTAATTGCATATTGCAGTTAAAGTATGATATTGCAAAAGTACATGTAAACAGGTAAGTAGTGGGAGAGATTAATCTTAACAACTGTTACTATAGTAACAGTGAGCAGTGCAAGTAAACATTATAGTATTGCAAATAATACATTTTTACAACAACAACAAAAAAGGCTTGATATTAAAAGTAATATTTCTTCATAATCCCAAATCCATGGTATCTTAAATGTATTTCGATATTTCTAATCAGAAATCAACATTTGCAATAAATTAATTTTGTAAAATATGGTGGTTTGTTTGAAGCTTTTGTGGATCGCTTCTACTAATTGTTTTAATCCAGGGTTCCTAGAGATGATCTAATCACACAAACCAAAAAATTTGAAGACTTCAAGTTTGGCAGTTTTTTAAAGATATTCTAGTTATTTAGGGTGACAGAATTTTAACCTTGGACCTGATTTAGCTGATGAGAAGCAGTTTTTTTATTAAACAATAAAGCAAGATGTCTAGATTAGAGTAGAATCCTCATTTTACTGCTTTATTTTCCAGCAGCTCCATTTCAAAATGTATTTTTCTTACTTGTCATATGAGGTAAGAAGCCCCCACAGCATGATAGAGCCACCACTATTTTTGCCTAGTTTTTTTCATTCAAGCCAAAACGATCAACCTTTGTCTCATCTTACCAGAGAATTTTAGAGACCATTTGCAGAAATGGTCGTCCTTCCGGAAGGTTCTCCTCACTCAACAGATCAACAGAGAGAGAGATCAACTTACAGAGAGACCTTTGTGTTCTTGTCCACCTCCCTGACTAAGGCCCTTCTCCTCTGATTGCACAGTTTAGACGGTTGGATAGTTCTAGAAGGTGTTATGTTTGTGCCAAACTGCTGACGGAGGCCAATTTGCTCATTGGGAACCTCAACACAGGAGAATGTTTTCTGTACGGTTTTCTAGATTTGTGCCTTAAGACGACCCTTTGTAGACAATTCCCTTGAACTAATTTTAACTAAGTTTTTTTAGGGCTGCAAAATACTGGTAAAAACCTTAACCAGATTTGTAATTGACCAAAAATGTGCATTTTGTTTCTGTGAGCAAAACAACTTGGTTTTATTTTCTTAAATCGCCTGACCACCTTCAGGCACAGCTATCATCAAAACGTGGTACTTAAATAATAACTAAGCATTTTATTGCAGTCCTGACAATTTATTGCTTGGGATTCAAAAAGTCAAAACATTAAAAATATATATCTGGTCAAATGATATCTGCAGCAGTTAGAATACATTAAGGTAACCTGTGCAGTGCAGACTGATTGGGCTGCTTTACAACTGCATCCCTGACAGCCCATACAAGTGGATCTTGAAAGGAATGTCATGAATCAAACAGGGAGTGAGGCATGCTAGCTAAATAAAACATCTGCTTTTGGAAAAAACAAAAACAAAAAAAAATAGAAGAAAAATAAATGAATGGTCAAATTGCAAAGTAAACATACACCATTTCCTTTGCTAAACGGAAACAGCAACATGAAAATCAGGTGCCATTTTGTGTTCAAATATAGCCGTTTTGCCTGGGGTACAGGTGCATACTCTTGCTTTAATACTTGATTTTGCAAGATTAGTGGTCTATTGGAAGGCCCGCTATTCTGAGGCTACGTTTAATGAGAAATGAAAGTATATAGAGTTGCATGCTAGCAGTGTGTTTTGGGGTAAAAGCAGGTCAGTGCAAACAGGATGCACCTGTGCTCCATCTTGAGCTTCGTGGCTTTGAAAACCTTTGTAGAAAGTTCTCAAAACATTTTTAAAATAATAATGTAGGTGTTGTGTGTAAAGGTTTAAAAGGAAAACGGCTATTTTAGTCCATATTGAAGTAAGGCTGCAACATAGAAGTTGATGAGAAATTTGCTATAAATCTCTGACTAGTGCCACTACATATATATGTTGCTGCTATTTTGACCTTTATAATATAGCCACTATCTATTTTCCATGTCCAACCTCCAAAAAAAAAAGGTTAATGAGAAGGATACACAAAGAAGCAAAGGTCATTCTCTGTATATGTCCCCCTATCCTCTTCTAAATTACTTTTATTAAATGACAATAAAGGCGCTGTTGGGGAAAAAAGGTTCATCACTGGGAATCTATTGCTTGTATTGCTGCAGAACTGCATGAGAACTAATCTAAGTTTTCCTTCTAGTGCTGCGTGATAATATAACATAATGCTTCAGCTTCTCAAAGAGGAGACACACCTTTGAAAACCAGCATCACAAGTTGAACACACACTACTTCTGGGCAGAGTCATAAACACCCTGAGGGGTCTGAGAGACGAGTAAACAAATAGGATCAGAAGTGAACCAAATGACACTAAAATGCTTGGGAAGATGTATGTGAATATTTGAATTGGCCTTATCTGGAAAATACCTCGGGTGGCTTAATGATTCAGATGCTTTTATTTATGTATTTTTCTAGAAAGAAATTAAGCTCAAAAGTAATAAGATGGCATTTGGTATTTATGAATAGATACATCAGCACTTCCCTAAACTACACTGCAGCACAGATAAATTCATCACCAAACATTTTTGTCTTGGAGAAGTTCCTCTTTTTTAGGGGTCAACATTTCTAAAATTACTTTAAGGGTAAAAAAAAAAAAAAAAAAAAAAGAAAAAGGGTTACCTTTTTTTACCCTTGAAGTCAGGTGTCACTAAAAACTTCAGAGATGATAAAATTCTTAATAATGAAATGAAGAGCAATAAAATAAGACTAAATTTAAGATGCAGTTAACGAATGGGTGGTGCTATTTTCAGATCAGACTCATGTGGGCTTTACTTGGTCCTTTAGGGCCAGATAGCTCTGAAGACTGAGCTTTCCATGGAAGAAGGTTAACTTTGCGTCTAGCTGAACATCGCTGTAATGATGTGGCAAAATGTTTATGAGATTATTTTTCTACCAAAAGATTCAACGATAATCAATTTCAAAGTTTAATGGAAGAGCCCATTCTTATTTAAGCTCAACTTTTCCACTGACCGAGTCGAAAGGTGGGCATGAACCATTTCTAAAAATGTCCAACTGTTATTCCTATTTCACTGTCCAAGAGAAAAAAACTAAAATTTCAACACTTATTTCTTACTGTAGGACCTAATATGGTCAAAGGGGAATTTCTCTAAACTATGAAATGTGGCATTACAGTAATGGTTTTAATTTTTTTTGTTGTTGTTTATTTATTTTTATTTTTTAACACATGTTTAAAGGGGTAATTAAGAACTAAAGGACCATTCAGACTGGGTGAATAAAATGAATAAAACTTAGATACAACCTGCACAAGTGAACCAGTCTAGGAACCTGCGGTGGCTTGTGTTAGTAGGACGTCCACTGAGCATTCAGGGTGTAACCTAAATCACATAATGCAATTCCTATGGATGTATTGTGCCCTAGTTTAAGATAATTGCACTTTTTTTAACACTTTAAATAACTCATCTATCTGTTAAATCAAACTACGCTTTTGGATTTTAGTCCAATTCTAATCTTTACACAAAAATTCAAATAATCATTAGCGGATGGAGTTCCACATACAATTGCTTTAGCTAGCAGATTGTTAAGCAACACCTCTCATGTGTTCCACTTCACCAACCTGGAAAAACATTTCTACACATTTTGCCCAGGGAGTGGACTTGGCTGCATCATCATGGCTCAACAAGAAATTAAACCTGCTTACCAAACCGTCTGCTCCCATCCTGCCTCTTCCAGACACCCTGAAGGTCACCTCAGCCTCCCAGTTCTCAAAGTTAACTTTGTTTTTCGTCCACACAGACCCCCTCTGACTCCTGAGCGATGGGGTAATGCGGACCTGGTCTGCACTTGGAATAGCATCTGGAACCAAGATGGAAAATAATGAGTTCTGGATAGAAGATAATGTGATTTTTATGTAGCTTTTTTAGTGGGCTACAAGCCACAGAAATGGGGTCCTGCTATTCTTAATCTATATCGAAGAGGGAATATTTTAAGAAAATATGGTAATCATTTCAATTGCACCATCCAAATTTACCTCTTGTGCTTTACTCTCACAAGTTCTACAATACTAATGACTCAATTTTCCATTGTTCCCCTCCAGGTTAAGAGTCTGTCATCGTCTATCACCGCTAACCTTAAATCCCTCCCCTCACTCCCTTAGGGCCCTGTCACACCTTGCCGATTTAGCCAGCATATGCCTGACATCCCTGAATCTTCTAAAACGCTGATATATGTTGAACATTCTATGTATTTTTTTCAATTTTCGGCTTATACATAGAGTATTCATTACAAGTCCAGAGCGTATGTCCAACAACAGCCTAACTTATGCATAAAGCACGTCAGCGTAATGCCCATGAAATGTCACAAGCCAGTGTCCTGAGGGGGGCAGCAATGCTCCCAGCGGTTCCTGACCTGCAGAAAATGATTTATTTGATTGCGGTATTAACCCAGCTGCTGTTGAGCGCCTGCCAAAAAAAAAAAGAACTAAAAGAAAAAAGAAAGACTGAAGGTTTGCAGTCGCAGCAGATTCAGCATCATGTCTGCTAGGAAGTTTGTTGGTCGTGGTCCTGAACGCAGGAAAGATCCTTCACACTCACCTTCTCGCTCACCTTATGATGGGGATGAAGTCTGGAGGAGAACTGACAGTTTCCCCCTGTGAACCTCGTTTTATACCAAAACGCTGCCAATACGCTATTATACAGTAGTGCTAACTTAGAAACACGGTCAGTGTTTATCTGGAACACGTCAAATACATTGATATGCGTTGGAGATAAGTTCTTGATAAGTTATGCACAGGTTACTCAGAGGTTTTGGATAAGCTGGACACCACGACTTATGAGTAACTCACACTCAGCGTACCTCAACGATCAAATAACTTACCTGTAACTTATGGCCCGCGTGTGAGCATACTCATCATATGTCAACGTGTCAAGCTTGTTTCAGCGCACTTCAGAGTGCTCGTAACTTTTTCAAAACGTACACATAACCAATCCGACATATGCCCGCATTTTTGACAGATTTTTCTTTTTCGTACGTCAGGTCTAAATCGTAAAGGTGTGACAGGGGCTTTATTTTGAATGTTTGGAGCTGGATTTTCAAATGAAACACCTTGATGAATTCTCTCCTTAACATCTTACAAAAATACCCACTTTCCAATAGACCCAGGTCCCTTTTGTCTCTTTTCATTACTTCTTAATCCCATCTGTTTATAGTCACACTAAGCCTACTAGATAAAAAAAAAACACTGAACACAACTTATTTGGACACTGATCAATGTATCAATCACCTCAAATTTGACAAAACTCATCAGAGTGCCATCTAAATTCTAAATCTAAATCATCCTCTAATCGTATCTGATATTGGAGAGTGTATCTTGTGCAGATTTGTTTACAAACTAGCTTGCATCATTTGTCACTGTGACCCTTGGAGTTAGGAATTTAGACACATGGAGTCTTTGCTTTACAAACCTTAGGGCCAGTTTTTACAACTGAGAAGATAAATGCAAGATTAGCAATCAATAATAAATTGTTTAACAGCAAGAAGCGTTAAATATTAACACTGTTATAGATTTATGCAGAATGGGATAGTTGAATTTAGCTCATTTTAATTGAAATAATGATAAAGCAGTTCATTTTTGAACTAGACATCATCAGGTGAAGAGTGTGAGCTGAGATTTAAGCAGGTTTGGACAGAAAAGAGAAACGCGTTTGAACTAAACAGCCAGAACCGACTGCTCATTATACACTCCACGGTACTCATCGTCTCAATGTCAGGTTACGACCTAAAAAGGCTGCTTCTAACCGGCTGGTTTTATGATGTTGACATCTGGATACAAACTTACTTCCACTGTGGATCCAGAACGGAATACTGCCGTCGGACTGAGACAAGTGCGGTCCTTTGAAGCTGTATTTGTACTCGAAGCGGCGGTGAGGAGGCTCCTCCGAAGCCGAGCCTCCCGCGGAGACGTCGGCGAGGCTGCGGTGAAATATAACAGCTGTAAGAAAACTTACTGTTAACAGTCGAGCAATGCACACCGCCATGTTGCTGCCTCACTGCTGACGTAGCGCTCAATCCGACAGCATGACGGGATGCGAGCTGGGCCAACAGGGCGTTTTCTCATTGGTCGGTTTTCTACTTCTTTCTTCTTCTTCTATTCTTGCTACGAACAACGGTTTCTGAGTCTTTTCTGAGATTCGAATCATTTGGCTTAGTGAAGTAAAAAAAAAAGACTCGAATCATTCTTCTCTTGAACTACTTTGTTCAGATGACCTCCATCAACGTTTTATTTTTATTTTATTTTATTTTTTATTAAATCAACATAAATGACAACACAGGATACATTTACAGAGGTAATTTACCAACACAAAACCCTCCCTGCCCTCACCCCCTCACACTCATTCCCATCCATATACCCATTAATTCATCCACAAATTACATTTTTCAGAATAAACATTTGAGAACTTCCCATTCCCATTTTCTGGCTTCATCATCTGTTTCAACCGTATAACTTTCTAAATTTAAATAATGCTGAATAAAGCTTTAAAAAAATTAATTGACATTGACATTTAGTTGTTATAATTCTATAATCTAGTGTGTTTTTGATAGCCACTATTTGATCACTAGATGGTCAAATGTGTTTGACTGAACTTCTATCTAATTTCTTTATGCATGATTTAGTTATGCATATAATATGGTTGAGGCATGCTAAGACTAGAAATTTGCATAAACTGTAAGATACACAGCTTTATTATTTTTTTCTCTGGCATTAAATATGGACAAACTTCCTGTTTTGGGTCAGTTAGGATTACCAGACATATTTTGTTTGACAAATTTCAGAATGGTGTACAAGAAATGTTCTTACATTTTTCAAAGTAAAGATTGTATATAGATTTTCTGAATAATTGGCAATATTCCAATTTTAACCAAGGCAATAACCAATGTATGTTGATTGGTGGCCGAAAGTGGATAGGCAACAGAACCTCAGGGTTAAGCTACACTGTTCCAGCAGGAAAATTAATGAGCACAACATCCATATTTTCTAAATAAAGACAAACAATCCTTCCCTACAGCATTTACTAACAAATAGAGGCATATATAGTGGATACAATTCTTTCAGGTTTAAGTTCTGGGGCAAACATCTTTTCCATTGTCATTACTTGTTTTTATCAATAATCCTTCCGCAAAAAAATTATATTTACAAGTAAAAATACTAACATAAATTGATTATTTAATAAGTTTTTGTTAAAGCTTCAGTGACAAACTGAAGCTTTGACTTTCTAGTGACAATCTTTACACTTGTAAGAAATCTGCGGAGGCTTACAATTCTGGAAACACAATTCCAACTGTGAAAACAGAAGCCTTTTGTTGTGTGGATGATTTACTGCAAGGTACTGGTGCACTAAAAAATAAAAAAACAACATAGCCAAATTTGAGGGTTAAAAAACATTATACTGAAATACTGACATTACAGATTGATATCTCACAGAAGGGTTTTCCAAATAGGCGGTCACTGTAGGCCTCGGTGTCCAAGGCCTTGCTGCCATAAAAGGCGCAGCCCTTATAGTAAGAAAAAACAAAGACAGAGGAGGAAAAAGAAATCATATTTCATACTTTATTCTTAGCAGGATAGAGGTTGAAGCTACAAAAAACCCAGAGCATATAAACTTCATATTGGCTTATATTGTTATGTTCTGGTCCAGGGAACACTGCATTAAAATAAATAAATGGTGGAGTGGTAGCCTAGTGGTTAGGGCATAGGGGTTGAAATCCAAAGGTTCTGAGTTTGAAACCCAATCCCACAGACTGCAAATCTGGGTGTCTGAGGAAGACACTTAACCCCCGATTGCTCCACGATGGCAGCCCACTGCTCCTCAAAGGGGATCGATTGAATGCAGAGAGTTAATTTCTCCATTGTGAGATCAATAAAGGTAAATGTATTTATTTATTATTAAATATCTAAAATGACCCTGGGGGGACAAAAAAGGCTAACATACAGTGGACCAAAGGTAGTAAGATACTAAGAAGTGAACCATATAAAGAGCCTTAAGCCAATTTTAACCATTGGTAACATCTTACTGTTTCAATTATGCATTGCAAAGGTGCTAAACACAAAAAAATATTGCTTTTAGACTGAAACAAGATATGTTCGCCAGATTTAGAGAGCCAGCTTGCTGAAACAGTTTGGTTGCAACCAGTGCATTCCTTTTATTGCAGTAGGTTTTACTGGGAGACGCCTTCATTGTGAAACCAGGTCAACAGTAATGCAACACACCTAAAACAGGCGTTTCCTAATATTGGCCCTTAAGGCACACTCTCCTGCATGTTTTGAATATTTCAAATGGTCCTATTCACAGGGAGATCTGCAGGACAGTTTACTATGAAGATTAAGGGTTGAGTGCATAAAAACTTACCAACTTCAATATGTGCATGCTGTACTCAAGTTAGAATAGTAGTAGTTCAGTATGTTTTTACCAGTGTTGCGCCGATGCCATTTTTTGGCCCCGATACCGATACACGAATCCTGGCTGAGCAGTATCGGCCGATACCATAATAATGTAAAATAATTGCCATCATGAATTTGTCAAGCTGCAGCCTACCTTTGTGAAGCAGGAAAAAATCTAATACAAAGTGAATCCAGTAGAACTTTTTATTGCCTACCAGGAGTGGGTGACAATAGTTGAATAAACTTATGGCTCTCAAAATGGTATCAGTGCCCTATTTGTTGGTACTCGCCGATACGGATACCACCATTTTAGGGCAGTATCGGGGCCCCGTCCGATACTGGTATCGGTATCGGTGCAACACTAGTTTTTACTGAAAGAGTAGTAAAATGGACTAATATGAAAAAAATAGTTCACGTAAGAGCATAAAGGTATTGGTAGATTAGGTACTTAAGTACTGAGCAATTGAGTGGTATGGTAAAAAGGATATCGTTATACAGAAAAATATTAAATGATATGCAGGTTCTGCTACTCACAAAAATTAAACTGAAAAACTAATTAAAAACAATAACATAGTTGTTTTTTTTAGCACTAGGATACAGATTTACAACATAAATCTTCAACCAGCCTCTAAAAACCTTTAAGCTTACAAACTCAAAGTCTAATATGTCGATGTATCTGGTGCATTTTTGGTCAAAACACCCTTTTTCTTTTACCTTCAGTGAAGTAACTTATGCAAGTAAAGTAGCTGATTAACAATATTCTCAAGTACTTAGGTATAGCATAGAAGTAAAAATTATGATGCAAAAAAAGCTAGTTTAAAGTATTTCATTTTTTTCAAGTTACTTCAGTTAATATATTATACTGAAATATATCAGCTAATTGAGGCTGCAATTTTATGTCTCAGTACAATTTATGCCGAACAATAGATCAACATTTAGCTCAAAAAACGAGATCTATGGAACATAATACTCAAACAAGACAAATAACAATGGAATATCAGCAAGGATAATGCAACTACTTAATAACATGAAAAAGTATAAACAAAGCACAATTGCTAAACAATTCACATTAGCAACAATGACATTTAAATGAAGTTTGATATTTTTCAACATGTTCAAGGTCAGGTCTATCAAAGCATCACAACATTAGCCTCCTTTATTCAACCTAAAATAAGCTTATATTTGGAAATATTAGCCTTGTCAAAAAAATATGTATATATGTGCAATTCCCATAATCGGACCTCATACAAAAACTAATGGTTTAGGTTATTTAAAAGCTTGAAAGTTCTAGAACACTAATGTGGTTTTCTATGCGGCAGCCGCTTTTACATCAACATGAAGTGAGAGGCTTCTAGACAAGGACGAAGCAAATTCTCTCCAAATTTGACTCCTTCCACATAGTCTTAGAGTTGAAGCAACAAATGGACAAGCCAAAGTTCTTCCAGAGTATATATTTAAGAAAAGGTAAGACAGATTCAGATATTTTCACCAAATTTTAAGAACAATGTATGTAAACGTCATGGTGAGGATAATAGTGGTAGCATGTCAAGGCAGTGTTCCTGGTGTATTGCACAAAATGGCTTTAATAATAAAGACAAAAAGGATTACCTCCTGTTATTTCATCGTCTTGTCTGCTCCAAGTAGAAAGTACTACATAGACATAACACCTGGTTCTGGAATAGATAAAGCATGTTAATGTTGAGCATCTGGAATGGCCGCACAAAAGTCCTGACCTAAACAATTTTGAGGTCAGGACTTTAAAAAATGTATTCTAAATATGCTGAGATGTAAAACCTTTATATCACTGCAGTTGTATGCACATGATGGTCTAACAAAGCTAGACTGAATGTGTGCAACAGTTAGTGGACTCTGTCACAGCATGCAGAATGTGATTTTCACAATGTCCAGATAGTCATATACGAAACTCTAAAAAGCTTCCATGGGCGGCCTGCAGATCCTCCGTGCCTCCTTTGTCTTTAGAGCCTTACTTGTGTTGAATCTAACCTTCATAAACAGTCATCACAACAAAACTTTTTCAAAAAATTTAAAAACATGGCCGCTACTACTACAACTACTGCTGTCCTTAATAAGGCAATTAGATTAAATCATTAAAAGTTGAATGTAAAATCTCACATTACCTTAGGAATGCTGTATTTCTGTTTTGAGACAGCTCCTAAAACATTTTGAGTGTGAAAAGAGTGTCCATAGTGACACTGCTATGTTTATTTTCTATTTTTAACAGTTTGCAAGCTTTGTAGTACTAACAGTTAAGATTGATGGGGGGTTTCTTCCTGTAAAAAGGGATTTTTTCTCCCTTTTTCAGTTAGAAGAATTGCTATAAAGTAAATGAATCCAAGCTTTGCTTCCTTTTGTTAAGATTTTTTTTTTTTTTGTCATTCATCTATGTGTTTCTGAAACCCTAATATTACCCTCTAATATTTCCCAAGCTGTTTATCTAATTTGGACATTTATTCTGTTAAGATAAAAAGTAATGATCTTCATTATTTACCTAACAAAAATTTGAGAATGAAATGGGAGCATTGTCCTTGATCTAAAAACATTGTATTATTATCTCGATATGGTTGGAGTCAGTGATGTCTCCTCATTTCCAATCCAAATGTGTATGTTTTGAGATGCAAT